GAAATAAGCTTAATGGTATGGAAAATGTTAGCATGTAAAAATTGATAGGTATATTCAATGAAATTTTATAATTTGTTTTTCTTTTTCACAGAAAAACTAAATATACTACTTAAAAAATTTCTTTCAAGTTTCATGGAATTAAATTTGGTACATTTACTGTTAAAACATAAAAGATTTGTGTGATCTTTTGGCACCACATACTCCAGAAAGGGTTTGAAATATTAAAAAATTGTTGTTTCCTGGAAATAATTCATGTCAGCTGTCTAGTCATATTTGCCAACAGATTGGTTTCAGTGAAGAAACTTTTGTATGGCTTATGCATAAGTCTGCTAATGACAGGGCAACAGTATGTGAAGCTCTTAGAAAACTCATGGTATTAAAGTTTGTTTTTATGTGTCTCTACTACAAAATGTTTTCATAGAATTCAGCAAAGTCTACTTTTTGTTTCAGTGAAATGTTATCACTGTGCCCAGTTCCTTGGTCAGACTAAAAAATGCACTGACTATACTTCTTTGCATGCAGTATGAGGAAGGTCCCAAGAAAGTGGATTTTGGTGTTGTGTCAGATAATTGAAGGGACGCTCAATAAATTGTGAAAACTAAAGCAGTTCTGACAGGTGATATAGACATATTATTATTAACCAGACCCATAACTTATGCTTTGAACAAATGCTTTAAGAGGTGACCATATTAACATAAATTTTACAGCAACAAGCATATTTGATCAGAAGTATTGACCTGACTAAAATACTCATATTTATGGCATAGAACAAGTTTAGCATCCCACTACTGATTTTTACACAGTTTACAGAATTGTTGATGTGACATCCAGTTTTCCATAAATGAGTTGGAAGGGTGAAAATGTAGTATTCAAGTACACTGATGTCACAAAATGCAGGTTTAAGACTGTTAAGGTGAGGAATAAATTGAACACAAACAGTAGATGAAAACAAACAGGCACAAGTGCAGTTTGAAGCAGAAAAAAAATTTAACAGCACAGTGTTATGTCATCTGAACTGGCTGGGCATTATTTTTTGTCTCGTCAGACTACTTTGGTTGAGAACTAGAAAACAACAAATAGTAGCCAAGAGAAAAATCAAGAACCAAAGAAATTAAGAGACAAAATCCAGAGACAGAATTATGGAAATACTTAACTTAAATATGGTATCTCAAAAGTCCACAAGTTACATATTTCAACCAATAGTCTACACTCAGTCTTAAGTAAAGTCAGTTGTACAGATTTCAAAATTACCTGTTTGAATGGGCTACCTTCTGAAAAGTTGATACAGAAATATATATATGCTAGCTTCAGTCTTATGAACAAAGGTTGCAGTATATAGCCTTTATCAGTGTAAAAGGATTAGCACATGTTTATGATCTTCAGACATCCATTCACAGAATGTCTTAAATACATGCAATAACAGCATGGATATAATTATACTAGTTATGGAAAATTGAAGTTCTTGACTTTTTTATTTCACTACAAAGTCATCAAGTTGTCTGGCCATCTCTTTGCTAGCATTCATCCATTGTTTGTGTGGCAGTGTATACCCAAGACGATGCTAGTATTAGATATTTTAAGAACACTGAAAGTAGTGCATTTCTGCTACATTTACACACTATTTACTGAATGATATGAGAGGGAATTCAGCACCATGAAGAGAATAAAAAGTGATTGGTACTTTGATTTGGAAATAAACACCACTGAACAACTTATGAGGATTACAATCAACAGCTCTAAAGAATTTAGAAAGTGGCAAATAAACATTTTAAGAGGAATAAAAGGGAGACTTGCAATCTGTTAATAAATATGTAAGCTAGGTCAGCAGAATATGCAAATTCAATTGTAAGTAAATGCTAATGCTGGTCTTAAAACAGTTGCTTTTGTTTTTCTTTTGCCTGCTTTGGCTGGCACTCAGCCAGTACCTTAAAGGAACTCGTAAACATTTGCCATTGGCCAATAAGGTTAGTTTCAAGCTCTGCAAGTGTTGAATATGACTGTATTGCTGTGTTAATTACCAGTATTATTCTAATTGTTTTCTTTACTTCTTTTCAGTATGAGTCAGTGTCTTTGCTATCAAGAGACCAAAGGAATGTATACATTTTATTATTCTAAAAGAGGCCACAAGGGTCTTATACAAGAATATATAGCATTTTTATATGAATAGTTTTTAGAATTACAACATCTTCATCTAAAATCTACTTTTTCATCATAACTCTGATGTTTCTTCGGCACACTTTGCAAAAAGGAATGTTGTTATTAATATTTATTACTAAAGAACCTAAATGCCTCTACTGTACTCGATTGCAAGTCATCAGGCTGCATTATCCCACACCTTTCGTTTTTCCTCATAGTGTAAAGTTTTTCCTCCCATACCTTGTTCCTCCTGTTACATTCCTTCCAGATTAGTCACCCTCCACAACGTGCAACTCTTCCTGATTGGGATATCAATGTAGTGCTTCATTGCATTGCTTTACCTCCATTTGAACCTTTGTCTTCTTGTTCCATGTTTCATTTATCTCTTAAAGTGTATTTCCTCCTCCTTATCACCTGTGGACATCATCAGTCAGATTCGTTTGCCATCGACATTTCACATTTTCTGTATTGTATCATTCCTCCTATCTTTTCCTTTACCTGGATCAATCCTTCCTTCCCAAGACTTCAGCAGATAGGGAGGGTAAAACCTCCTCCTCAATCATGTTCCTTCCTTTTATTTCCCACCTCTATTCCTGGTCTGATCTGGATATACTTCTATGTTCTATTCATGCTCTTCATTGCTATATCACACACACGGCTTTCTTCCATCATAACCGTACCCATCTCTTCATCCCTTGGCAATTATCCTCTGTTCTTGATCTATCTCCTTCCACCCTTACCAATTGGGTTTGGCTTTTAATCCAATTGGCTTATTCTTCCTTGTCTTCTTCTTCTCGTTAATTATTCCAGGTGTGTTCTCATCAGATTAGACACTTTACTTTTTCCCTGGAATCTCCTTTGCATTGTCCGCTGGAGGAAATTCTTCAAGCGGGCATGTGGACCACTCTGCATACTTTCATCTCTCACAATCTGTTGCTGTTTCTTCTTCTTCAGGTTATCATCTTTCATCTGTTGTCATTCATCAGATCTCAGAATGGCTTGAACTGGCTAAGTTTTCTTTTTTCCTTATTTATCTTTTCAGGGGCCTATCCCATGTTTTGATCTGGATCCTGCTTTGTGGTGAGTAGTGCCTAGCCAGTGTCAGAATTTAAAAATATAATTCTTTCACCAATTGTCAAAATAAAAGGCTTTTGCTTATACTTAATAGTATAAATATATACTGTGTTGTTCAAATTCGATGACGAGGAACCCACTTTGAGACTAATAATGGCTGGAGATGGCTTGAATGGGTAATGAAGAAAACTTTAATATAACAGCAAATGTACAAAGTTTCGACAAGGTTTTGTCATCATTCATTACCCATTCAAGCCGTCTCCAGCCATTATTATTCTGTGTTGTTGTTGGACTTACAATTCTACTTGTTGGTGATAAATTCAATGATAAATGAACAACACACACTTCACTTGTTTTTAAAATAATATATATATTCAGGACAAGTTATACGTATGTACAACAAATTCTTCACACAATAGAGATTATAGGTATATCATAGACACTATATATATAATTCTGTTCTTCTTGTCAAAAGTCCACTTAGGTTTATTCAATTACTTTAGATTTTCAGTTGACAAGCCGAACTATCTTTTCTATTACTATCGCGCTAGTATTCTGTGTGTGATTTGCTTATAATTGTAGCACAAGTTACCATAATCGCTTGATCTTCTTTTTTTTTTAAAATCCTCTGTTTCTTTTGTCAAAGTACACTCAGGCTGATTCAGTTACTTTAGAACCAAGTTTTGATGGAATAAATTTTCTTATTATCTCTTTTTCTACTGTTAGTCTTACTCTAACATTTTAAATGTTAGAACTATGTTAATCATTAGGCCTATCACTTCTACAGTAGTTAACTTCATGCCAAACTTTTCCTTGCCTGTAACTTCACTCTCTTCTGCTATTGTCTGTCTGCTGTTTCCGCTCATTTCACACTACTTATATCTTTATTACTTAATCATCTGCCCACCTTCTATAGTCTCAACATCAATGGCTTATAAACACAGCTTCTTACAATCATCTGCTTTTAACTCTTATTATAACAAAAACTAAACAATAATAAAATATTCACTCACAAAAATAAATTAATCACTAATATCTAAACTAAATAGTCATTTATATCATGACATAAACCCCTCTACAAGATAAATATTTACAATATTTTTTTTTACATATACAAAGACTGTTCTTAGTTCATACACAAAGCCTGCTCATACATTTGCAGTCCCTTTGATAGCTTCAATGCAGAGCTTGTAGTTTTGAAGGTACAATGCCCACCTCATAATCCTTGCACTGTTGATCTTGCACCTCTGAATATATGCAAGTGGTTGATGGTATGTTTAGATGATGAACTCCTTCCTCTATAGATAGTTCTGGAACTTCCAAACACTCGTTCAATCACAGAGTAGTTCTTCTCACTATTTAACAGCTTTTTACTTATATACATTACTGAAAACAGTCCATCTTCATGTTCTTGTAAGAGTACTGCCCCAATTCCAATGTTTGAAGCGTCAGACTGAACAATGAATGATTTGTTTAAGTCTGGCTTTCTAAGAATTGGTGAGCTTCCCAACATGTTCTTTAATTTCTGGAATGCCACCTGGTGTGGTTATTTCCACTTCACCTTGTTGGGCAAGTCATTCTTGGTTATGTCAGTCAATGGTGCAGTAATTTCAACATAATTTGGGATGAATTTCCTGTAGTATCCTACTAACCTCAGGAAGAATCAGGCTTACTGCTTGGTCATCAGAAATGTTGCATCTTGTATGCGAATTATCTTTTCCTTTTCCATGGTTATCTATATGTCCAACAAACTCCAGCACAAAATATCTGATGTAGCACTTGGATGGTCTGATGGAGAGGCCTGCTGCCCTCACTTCTGAAACAGTTTTCTAAGTCTCTTCAGATGGTCTGTGTGTCAGAATGTCTTCCACATAGTACTCAATGTTAGTGGTGTTGCACAGCATCCTCCTCAACATGTGGTTGAATGCTGCTGTTGAGTTGACTAACCCAAATGCCATCTGTTTAAATTGGTAACATCCATCTGGTGTCACAAATGCTGTCTTCTCTTCAGATCCCATCTCCATCAGGATTTGCCAATAACCTTTACTGAGGTCAATCTTTGAAAAGAACTTGGCCTCACCTAGTTTTGCCATGATAGCCTCTGGGTTGCCCATAGGTTCAGAGTCAAACTTTGTCATGAGGTTCAGCTTTCAGAATTCTATGCAGAAATGGTTTAATCCATCCCTCTTCTTCATGATTACAACTGGTGAACAGTAGGCTGAATATGAAGGCTTGATGATTCCAGCTTCCAACCTTGCATTAACTTCCTGCTTTATATGGTCTCTCATTCTATAAGTCATCTGATAGGACTTTGCTTTGATTGGATCCTGGCTGTGGTTTCAATTTTCTGTTGCACAAGGTCTGTCTTTTCTGGTATTTATCTGTGAAGATATCTGCATATTGGCACAGTAGGTCTTGTAATGCTTTTTTCTGCTTGCCAGTCAGTTATTCCTTCATGTTGATATCTTTGTATGTCTCACCTCCACCTAGTGGTTTTAGGTCTAGTAGGTCCTCATCTTCTAAGACAAGTTACTGTCTTCTGATTCTGCATCTATGATGGCCACATCTGCAACATCCATCTCTGTTTCAATAGCTGCACCCGTTAGGTCTTCTTCTCTCCCAAAATACTTCTTCAACAGATTGGCATGGTATATCTTGGTCTTCCTGTTCATATTCATCTTGTAGTCCATTCTGTTGAGTACTTCCTGTACTTGAAAAGGTCCTTTCCATTGCAGGGTGAGTTTGTTGTGGAATGTGGGCAGCACAACTAAGAACTTTTGTCCAACTTTAAAATGTCAATCCTTGGCCTTCTTGTCATAGAAATACTTCTGACTGCCTTGAGCTGCATACAAACTCTGTTGAGCAATTTGACAGGTCTCCTCCAGTTGGTTTCTGAGGTCTAGCACATACTGTTATCTGTTCCTTACTTCTTCTCCTATCCATAGCTCTTTCAATATTTGCATCAGACCTCATATTGTTCTTCTATACAGTAACACGAAGGGTGAAAATCCTGTACTTGCTTGAGGGACTTCTCGATAAGTGAATAATACTGCCTGCAATTACCTGTCCCAGTCATGTGGTCTCTCTTAGCACAGCTTCTTTAGCACGCCCTTTAAAACTCCATTGACTCTCTCACAAAATCCATTACATTTAGGATTGTATGGGTAGAGCTGCTGAGTACTGATGAGTCTGCACACTTCCTACATCAGTTCAGAAGTAAACTTGGTCCCTCTGTCAATCAGGATTTCTCTCGGAAAGCCTACTCTGCAAAATATCTCCAGGAGGGCTTCTGCTATTCTTTCTGTTTTTATCTTCGCCAATGCTATTGCTTCCGGATAACGTGTAGCATAGTCGACTACTGTCAGCACATAACAGTTGCCCTTGTCAGACACAGGTGCTAGTGGCCCAATCAAGTCCACAGTTACTTTGCTGATCATCTCTTCTATGAGAGGCATCTCCCCCAATGGCACTTTGGCTACCTTCCCTCATGACATGCAGAATCTACTCGCATCTCCAATTACTCCCGGCCAATGGAAATTACTAGTGATTCTGTCTGCCATTTTCTTTGTTCCTAGGTGTCCTCCTACAATTTATTCATGAGCCAACTTCATCACTTGAGTCCGGTATTATGTTCGTACTATGATCAGTTTAACTTCTACAGTATAATTGCCTTGATAGATTCGGTATGGAACTCCCTTCCTGTCCTCTATTCTATAAGTATTTTTTCCCCTTTGTTTTGTGCTAGACTTTCTCCCAGACATTGCCCCAAAGTTTCTGCAGTGAAGAGTCTTTCTTCTGTGCTTCCTTCAGTTCCTTGCCTGTCATCTGATCATTGGATACTAGACTGGTTCTCACTGCTGCACTACTGCACCCAGTGTCTCGTAGAACCTTCATTTTCTTGTCTCCATCATAGCCTTCACATATTGGCATATTATGATTTATTGGCACCTCTTGATATTTATCATATGCTCCCATCATTATTGGCACTGTTGATCTGTTTGCTAACTTGAGCCAACCATTAGTCATGCACTGATCAATCATCTTTTCTTGTATTGAATTTGACAGATAGTCTTGATTCTCTTTCTTCTGGCAGCAGCATCTATAATGCCAGTCACTCTTTTCTTGTTTCTTACCAGCACTGTCTTTGTAAATAGCTCCAGCTGCTTTATGTTGAGGTTTCTGCTGTTGTTTGCTGGTAATAGACTTGCACTCCTTTGCAATGTGTCCCATTTTATAACAAACATATATCTCTTCGCTCTTCTGTCTATTAACCTCCTGTCACCTTTGGTAGACTCTCACTTCAGGTCAACCATCACTGGTTTTGAATTTAACTGGATATTATTGGACTTGCCTGTTATACTATCTATATGGGCTTCTATATACTGTTCTACCAGCTTGATCATCTCCTCTACATCTTTTGGTGCTCTCTCCTTTAGGAACAGCAACATGTCAGTTGAACACATGGTCATGAACTGCTCTCATATTGATAGATCTGCCAGTCCCCCTAAACTATTTTCAGACTTTGCCATGTCAATCCAACTGGGGAAATATCATCATAGATGTGCCACAAACTGAAATACAGTTTCTTTAGTTTCAGGTTTGACTTCTCTGATCTTCCAGCAGAAACCATCTTGAGTAAGTTCATATAGTTTCAGTAAAGCTACTTTTAATTTGTCACAATCCATGTTATCTTCTGACATCATGCCTGCATGTACTGACTTTGAGCAAATCTTTCACCTCTTTCAGGAAAGCATCTATGTCATCTCTATGTTCATCAAATTTGGGCAGCTTGGGTCAGCTGGCCCTTACTCCATAACCATTTTTGGGTCCTTCTTCCTTTAGTTGGTTGAGTTTTGCAATCTCAGTTTGTGTTCTTATTCTCTCTTTTTCTAGTCTCTCTCTTCTCTCTCTTTTTCTTCTTTCTCTATTTGTAATTTCACTCTCTCTATTTCCAGTTTCTCCTTTCTCTCATTTTCTTCTTTCATTCTTTCGCTTTCATTTTATCCTTTTAGTCTTTCTTCCTCTCTTCTCTGTCTGTGCTCTTCTCTTTCTAGTTCTTGTTGTTTAACAAATTCTTGTAGTTGACTGTCTTTTAACCCAAGATGAGATCCTCTTTCTACCCATTTATCAAAATTACCTGACATGGTTGTATAGCATAATCGTAATCTTTACACTACTTTCGTTACTACTACAGTTGTGCATATATAGGCCTACTTATTTCTGCTGTTGTTCATGTTTTCTTCTATTGCCATTTACCAATGTATCATCCTGGTTGAGTCTCACCAACTGTCAGAATTTGAAAATATAATTCTTTCGCCAATTTTTAAAATAAAAGGCTTTTACTTATACTTCTTAATAGTATGAATATATTCTGTGTTGTTCAAATTCGATGACGAGGAACCCACTTTGAGACTAATAATGGCT